TACTAAATGAAAGAAGACAGATGTGACAGTCTGAAAGTTCATATGGCATGTCTAGAACAAACAAATTTATGGAGACAGAAAATAAGACTCACAATTCTTTGGGGTAGAGGGTAGGAACAAACTGCAAGTGGACACAAGAACTCCCTTTGAATGACAAAATATAGTGTTTCTTGGTCCTCTTCACAATTTGAGAAGTTTAAATTTGTAAACCCATGGAAAAGTTATTTGAATTCTAGCAAGTTAATTTCAATCTACCACTTCCAGTGCAACCCACAGTGAGAATAAAGACGTTGAGACATATTTATAGTCATTTGGAGCCAAGGGAGTCCTAAGTCCAGTCAAACTAATTGTTCACCAGAACAAAGGCCTCAACCCAGATTGTATTAATTCATGAAGAAGAGACTAGCTTGAGGATGAGTGACTGTGAGAATGGCAGGAAATACGTGAGTTCTGTAAGCTGGGCTGGGTAGGAGGCCTGAAAACACCGCTGTAATATGCAGGCATTAAGATATGCATAACAATTAAGGGAGCATCTCATGGTACAAATGATTTTCACTAAGTAAACATAAAAAGCACACATTTTCACTAAATAAACATAAAAAGCATATCATTTTTTCAGGGGAACCGAAGTGGACAGTTTATGGGATGAAGGATATTTGCCTTAGTCCCCGAATGAGCTCATGGCAGAACAAGACCTCCAGATCACTTGTTGTGGCCCAGAGTTTCCCTCTGCTGAGCAGATGTTGCATCTAGGTTCTGCTTCTGTTGACCAAAGTGTGGATCTCTTATGTGTCCCTGACAGGAGACAAGGAGAAATGTGATTGTGTAGGAGGAAGGACAGAGGTGCAAGTTCAGAAACTTGCCTTTAGCCCTCAGGAGTGAGACAGAGCTTGGGAGGATGCTTGAGTGCAGGTAGAAGTGCATCTCATCATGCCATGAGAGTATCCACTGTGCACAAGAGAATGCTCCTGACACACACACACACACACACACACACACACACACACACACACCCTTCCAAATGGCTCAATGGAAACCCCTCCAGTAGCAGCGTTTTTGGGTGAATTTAAAGAGCACAACCTGAACTTGTAGAGGTGCACAGTTACAGGAAGATGCTTGAAACTACAATTATAGCATCTGTCACACACATATTGAACCAGAGTATGATATCTGCTTTGTATTGCTCCCTGAACTGCTGGATGTAGTACAAGAGTAGAATGTTGGGCACAAAAAGATCCCCAAAGAGGACTTGCTAGAGGAGAGGAGATACAGCAGTGCTAGTCACGTACTAATGGTCAAAGAACCGGAAAGCAGTTTGAAACTAATTAAGTATTGATTTCGTTAAGGCACTGGCTCGTTCAGCTCTAATAGAGGAGTGAAATCAAACACAGGTGTCATTTGACCTGCAGTTTGGTGGGAAAGGTGTCAACAGAAGTTTCCCGTATTTGCAGATGTGAAAAATTTTCAGGAAGAAACACTCTCCTCGTTGTTATTTTTTTCTGTCTGAAACCCATTTGAGCATAAATTGGACAGTCCATTAATAATGACCCTGAAATGGTACGTAGTATGGGATGCATTTTTTTCACTTCAGATACTGAAGGATTATACTTGCTAGCCACATTTGTGTCGCTCTGCAGTTATTCCTGAGCTAATTTGATCCCATTTCTTGCACTTCCTTGAAAAAGGAGGGTCAGCTGAACTCTTGAGTTTGTCCCTGTCCCCTCAGCAAAACTTGCAGCTTCTCCTGTTCCATAATGACCATCACCAGGGTTAGAGGTGAATTAGGCTGTGGGTCTCAGATCTCAGCTTTGCTCTGCTTACTGCCCTGGGCTGGTTGCATATAACCCTGACCCCTGCATCTCACCCTTTTTTATTCAGAGTCTTTCCATTCTGTGAGGTTCACCCCAGGCCTCTGTCTCCTCTGATTATTGTCACTGATAAGCTAGCTCACACATGCTGCCTTCACAAATCCTTTTGGAGTTCCAGTCAAAATCTCCCCATTTTGTATGTAAACATCTTGTAATCCTTTTGTAATCCTTCTGTCCTGGCATGCCCAAAACTCCTGAAAAACAGCAGTTGTACTTCACTCTTGTTCATAGATACTCAAAGCTCTGACACAGGGTAGATGCTCCATGACTTTCCTGGGGAATGGAAATGCCCCTCGGAGACTCACTGAACACAGCTCTGTGAGCTTCATAAAGCTCCTAGTTTGTCGCAGATGAAACAAACACAGGATAAAGACTCAGTGCAATCCCACTTTTGCTGTGTGGCAGGGACACAAAGCTGTTGAGAAGTTGAGTGCTGCAAAGACAAAAGGCTACAGAAAGTCCAGTAGTGATGTCAGCAGTGATGTCATCTCCCAGTGCTGATTATTGTGGGTCACTTTTCCTTCTTGCTGCTCAGGACTTTTGTAACAGATTTATAAGGAACATTTTTTTATTTATGTGTGGTAGGAGGTATCTGGAAGTATTAGAAAAAAGAGAAGTAATAAAATCATTGAGTATTATGAGATGCTCAATGCAGTGAAATGGGACTTCTGCAATGAAATAAATGTAATTGCCTGTTATTCTCCATGGGTCTAGTGTTCCCCTAAATGTGTTTCATGCTATGCTTAGTCCGTACCATGCCAAGGACACATTTAAATAATATACCAAATGGGCATCCTATAGTAGCTTCTTGAAATTTTACAAGATCTGTTGCCCTGGATATTCCTACAACAGATGAACCTTGGAAGTTCTAGTTAATATTTTCTAAAGTTATTCGATTGTGGAACTTTTTTTTCCTTAGAAGTGCCTACTACCTCATTGTACTTTGGGAAACATGGCTGTATCTTACATGTTGCTAGTTTTAAATTATAGCATACTGAGTTTTGGTTTGAGTGTTATTATTTGTTTATTATATATAGTTATTATCCTTTGGCTAGAAAATCCAGAGAGGCCCCAAAATTAGAGAATAATCTTTTCAATTCAAATTCATAAACACATTTTAACAATATAAAATTACATGATTTTGTGGTTTTTCTTCTTTGTCATAAAAGCTACGCACACCATTTCTTAGTTCCTCAAATTGTAAAGCTTGATTTGTTAAAATGAAAACAGTGAGTAAAAAGCATGATGTGAGCCTGAATTTCTGCAGCCTCCTCTGGAGTCCACCCTAAAGCTGGAAGTTCTCACTGTGAAGGTGCATTTTATTCTTGCGTGGGCTTTGTCTTCATCTTCACAGTCATCTTTCCATAGGCACTTAAGGCAGTGATTTGAGTAGTATAGAATCTCTTATCCCCTACTTCTATAATGAAGAGCTGCAGAAGCCAGGTAAAACTGGCAAATCATCTGTGTGTACATCAAAAAGAGGGTGCTTGAATTCACCTTAAGTTGTAGAAACACTGTGAGCAAAGTCAGAAGGCCTGGTGGAAGGCTAAAGGCTCTGCCTTCTGTCTTGCCTGCAGTGCTCCTTCTCACCTGTAGGGACAAACAGTGTATCAGAAGCTCAAAGAGAGGCCAAAGGCTCGGCATTCCAAGCAGGATGTGTACACGTGGAACGTAAGAGGGAGATCCCATACTAACAAATTGTGTGTGTCAAACAGGCTTGTTTCACTCCATCACTGCCCATGATGCTTAGATTTATCTTGAGCTAAAAGCCAGTCTGCGGCTGTAGTTCACAACAGCTTTACCTAACAGCAGTGTAACAGCCTAGGCTAGAGATGGCGAACCTTTTAAAGACAGAGTGCCCAAACTCCAAACTGCAACCCAAATACTTCTTATTTATTGCAGTGTCAATATTGCAATCAGACATGAATGCTGAGCTGCTGGGGTGATGCTGGGGTGACTTGGCTCACACACCAACAGAGAGGGCTCTGCATGCCTACTGTGGCATGAGTGCCATACGTTTGCCACCACTGGCCTACACTAAGCCAGGATTTTGCCTCATGTCAGAAAGTATGCAGTTTAGTTCAGTGTTATTCGAGTGACTTAAATATAAAGTTTAAACAATACTCAGAGCATAGTTTGACCTCCTGTTTTGGCACTCATTTCCTCCTATATCCTGTAGTTAACAGCTCCTGGGCAATTGTGCACCCCTTTCAGCTAAGTGCCAGAAAGGACACAGGAAAAATCAAGACTGCTGCCTACTGGAAGTCAAAATCTGCCGTTGGTGGCACAGACACAAACTATAGCTTTGTTTAAATTTCCAGTTGACCGGCATGCACACAATCACAAAGGAAAGGCAAATGGGGGAAATAATGCCTTTCACCTTCTCACAGTGGGTGGACACACAAGGCAGAGCCTGATTCCCCGAAGTGACACATCTCTATGATGGAGCGTCCCTGGCTGTGGCCTCACCCACATCGACTACAGCGGTTGTGGTTTTTAAGCAAAGCATGGAAGTGGGGCTGGAGGGCATATGCAGGAAGCTGGTTGGAGCAGGTGGAAGGGAGGAGCAAGGACTCTATGCTGTCCACAAAGAGTAAGAGGAGGATCTTGGCACCTGCATCTCTCACTAACGCACTAATGGGCAGGAAAGTCCCAGTAGAGGCGCTGGACATTGCAGAGGTCAAGGCCCTCTTGAGTTGGCGTCCCCAGCTGTTAGCGCAGCTCACCACCCAGGAGCACTGTGTATGCCAGAGCTGATGAAAATGGGAGTGGAGTGATTCTTGCTACTCTGTTCTGGAGAAGCGTTTCCCAAAACCCAAGCATGCAGTTACCTGTTAAAGTCTGGTTCCGGGATGAAGCTTGAGTTTCTGTGAGTCCCACAGGATGGGGTCTAGGGCTAGCGGTGGAGGTGGGCTGTAGGGAAGGGGGTTGGATGTGTTAATGTGTCCAGCCTGCTGCCCACACTCAGAGGGCCAGGCTTCACAGGGTAGACACCTGTGCAGAAGCCTTCCCTGGCACTGTTCCTTAGCGGCTTGGCCAGGAAGCGGCCCTGCACCCGTCTCCCTGTCCCCATGTATCCGGTCATGACCACGTGGCCTCTGCAACCAGGTTAACACGCCTTCTCTTCCCCAGGGGAGGAGCGCCCCCGGGAGCCTCCGGGCCCGGTGGAGGCCCCGGCACCAGCGGGGTCAGAGGCCAGCGGGAGGACAAGCCGCGGGCGCTGGACCTGCTCACGGGTGCAGCTGGAGAAGACCCTGTGGGGCGTGGCGGTGGTGGTGTGCGTGTGTGCCTCGTGGGCGGGCGCCGCGCAGCTTGCCAGACTCACCTTCCGTACCTTCGATGCGCCTTTCACCCTTACCTGGTTCGCCACCAACTGGAACTTTCTGTTCTTCCCGTTGTACTACGTGGGCCACGTATGCAAGTCCACGGAGAAGCAGTCTGTGAAGCAGAGGTACAGGTAGGGCCGCTGGCTGCCGGTTGGTCGCTCACCTGTCAGCTGGGAGTAGGGTGCGGGATGCGCTTGCGCTCTCAGCTCGCCAGGATTGGGTATCTCCCCAGTCTGTGGGTGACTGAGTTCTTTTGTCTCCCCCTCCACCCGCACAATCCTTGGCTCGCCTTTCTGTGGAAGCAATTTGAAGAGATGGGCCTTGGTAGTACCCAGAAGCACAGAAATCTGAGCAGAACTGGGTTGCCAAGGCTCCATAGGGAGCCCCGCCATGCTGGGATGGCCTGGCAGCTTCCTGTAGCTTGCTTTCCCTGCTCCTTCCCTTTCTGATTTCCTCCTCCCTCTCTTTATGTGATTGCGTGGATCTGTGTGTCTTGGCAGGGGGTGATCAAAACTAATGCAGCGTCTGGACTTTGTTCTAGGCTATATTTTCTCCTATGGAGGCCATTGGAATGATGTCCCTTTCAAAATGAGGCAAGTCACCCTGACCGCAGTCCCTACCTCAGTTTATGCAGCAGGCCTGCCCCCCACTCTTCTTGGGCATCACACTGCTGGTGTTGACCCATGATACTCATCCGTGCCCAAAATGGCTGTGCCAAGTGGAGACCTTCACAGACTCTGTCGAGGTCTGGCCCAAATTTGCCAGCTAGGCACTGCCAAGAAAGAGTGCTGGTCAAGGTAGCACTGCAAGCCCTGGGAACTCATTTATTATCAGTCCCAAAGGTGAACAAAAATTGAAAATGGAAGACTATTGGGGCCTTTACTATTGCCTTCTCCCCCACTTCCCTCAGCCCACCAACACGTACTTGAAAAAGTTGCCAAGGCTCATTAACTATCTGCTTCAGACCTCAGCCCTAAAGTCACAAGATAGCTAAAGCCACTGCTGAGGCCAAGGAGCAAAGAAGTTTCCAAATAGAAGCCACACTGGGGTCAGAACTCTTATTTGGAATCTGCCATTATGTCCTTATGGAGTTGGAGTTGGAGATTACAAGCACCATTTTTAATGTATGGAGAGAATTTGACCTGGCCCTTTAAAGACTGACTTGTAAAGTAAACACAGATTGTTGCATGAGCGGCTCTTGGGGTAGCTGGCCTTGAACCTTACACTCAGCCTCACACATCTCCTCAGTGGAAAGGGTTTGGAGCAAGTCCTGGGAACAAGACACGCAGGGCATAGAGCCCAGAGCTCAGAACCCAGGTCCAGGGTAACCTCAGTGCTGACTTAACCAGTGGCTCATGGGCCAGCCAGAAATTGCTAAGGAGGTGCTTAATGCACCACTTCTGAATGGCAGCCAAAGCCAGACAGAACCAAATAGTTTTAGGAGCTTTGATGGAGCCAAGATATCCCCAAAGGCAAGAGTGAGGTAATGGTCTGCTTCTAGTCACAGCCAAAAGCGTGTATCAGTAAAGGATGTATTTGTTAGTTAAGTGGCCCAAAGTGCATTTGTTAGAAGGAAACTTCTAACTACAGACTACTCCTTTCCTTAAACTGATTAGAATGGTGTGCTGCTGTGCCTAACCAAAAGCTAAAAATCAGTCCTTTATTACCCAACAAAACAAAACAATTACTGGAACTGGGCATGGTGATCACCCCTGTAATCCAAGTACTCTAGGAGGCTCAGGCAGAAAGGTTGCAAGTTCAAGCCTGCCTTACAAACTTAGCATCTTACTGATACCCTAGCTCAAAAGAAAATTTTAAAAAGGGCTCTGGATGTACTCCAGCATGAAGACTGTACTTGGGTTCAAGCCTCAGTACTGGAAAATAAGAATTATTGGGAAAAAGAATTAACGATCCTTCCTGCTACCATCATCCTGTATGCTGCAAGAGCCCACCTCTCCAGAGGTGGTAAGGCTGCTGCTCTACATGTGCACCATTACAACACCCTACTTGGGGACAAGAGTGGGACTGCTTAGCCCTTAAAGACTGGGACTGCTTAGCAGTTCAACCATGGTGCTAGAAACCATGCTTTAGGAATCAAGCTCAGCGGTGACTGAAAGGCCAACATCGGGTGAAATGAGAGGCCCTCAAAGGGGATTAGTGAATGCCAGAAAGGCATACATGTCTTGATTTTGGTCTATTGTCTTCCTATAAGAAGCATCCAAAAAAGTGTCAAGCAGGGATTCCTTTGATTGCTGTTGTTCACTGAAGAACAAGGGATGGGCAAGATGAGTGTCACTTGATTAGTGAAACCAGATAGAACCTTGCCCAACTTCTATCACAAAGCTTACTACACCATTTAATAAAAGTCTTCCTAACTGTGTGCTCTGTTAGCCCCAGGAGCTGAGCACCCAGAGGCCGAGGCTGGGCAGAGTTGCTAAGTTCTCAGCCAAAGCCACTAGAAGAGTGAAGATTCTCCCTCCTAAAGGGGAAAGAAGAGCTTTAACATTGCAGAGCTCCCTTCAGAAATCACGACTCTGTCACAGCTCAGATGAGAGTACTTTAAACAGATTTGAGGCCTCCCAGAATCAAGGAAAACTCAAATCACATTTTCCATCTTCATGCATTTATCAAAATGAATGCCAGAGAGAAACATTAGAGTTTGCTGCAGAGACTGATCTCTTGGCTGGAAATGTTCAGAAGCTGCTGAGGAAGGTTGCAGACCCATTGCACAGATAAACCAGATTCAGGTGAACAGAGGAACATTTCTTTTCTCCACCTTCCTAGAGCTGCTTTCCTTAGGTAGAGCTGCAGAAGTCAGCCATGGCCAAGTGAAAGGCTTGGGGTGCTACCACAGAACACCTCAGGCTATGGTGCCCCAAGGTGCTGGGACTTTGGTGTCCAATCTGCTTTCCTAAGGACTGACCCAAGAATCCATGGGCTGCACTGGGGCTGTGCAAGCCCTGGAGTTGCTGAGTCTCAGCTTCAGGTTTTAGAAAATGCAGCCGATTTGATCACATGTTAAGCCAGGACTCACCTGGCTACATGGAACAGGTATGTGAGTTGATGTTGAAATCCTGGTTCCTGCTACTTAAGGGGAAGGCTCTGTGGGCTTTCCATTTAAGTTCTCAGAGCTTTAGATACCTATTTGTATCCAAATCAAGTGGGAAGTTCCTAAGAAAAAGATGAGAAGATGGCTCTGTGAGAGCTGGAAGAAGACGTTAAGATCATCCTGGGAAGACAGAGAATGTAAGGGCCCAGGGAGTTTTCCTGAGAGTATAGGAAAGAGACTGGAGAGAAGTCTTGGCTGAGGCAGGACAGATCCTGGTGAGGCTCTGTATCAGGCTGAAGATCCTTGGTTTCAGGCATGAGTCATAGCAGAAGTCACCACAGGGACACTCAGGCTAGACCTTTAGAAATAATGCTTCTTTCACTCTTTGGAGAGTGGATGAGGTAGCTACAGGTTGACCCAATCATCAAACACCTCGATGTCTGTGTGCCCAAGCTGTGCGGCAGACACAGATAATATAGACATGTCTGGTCAAAAGAAATTCATACCAAGTAGGAGGGATACCCACTGATGAAGCAGAGTGGGATTAAGGAGGAGGTAGACAGCAGCTGAGTGACTGTGGACCTGACCAAAATTGGGGGGAGACCATGCAGTCAGTGGAGGCCCAACTGGGAAGCCTACAGTGCCTATCAGAGTGCTGGGGCTGCATTTTCTGGGCCATGGGAGCTCCAAAAGTTTTTGAATAGAGGATTGATATAATCAAATCTGCTTTCAAAAGTAGAATTCATGGAGCTGATTATATAACTGGTTACAGCATATGTTCCCATTTCACACAGAGGTGGGATGACTGCCAGGTGTCTGTTTGGTGGGGTGTGCTTGGTTCCTGAGTTGCACCGAGGACTTAGAGTGCAAATCTTGAAGTGTTGAAGGGTCGTATCTGCTTTGAACTGTCAGCTTCCTCTTCAGCCTACAGCAGATTCTTGTGTTGGGGAAAATCATTTCAACTGTCACCTTCACTAAATTCCAGTATTCTGAAAATCTTCTTCCCAAGGAGTATTTTGTACAGATTTTCCAGGCACGGTGCCAATGCTAAGGCACGGCATGGCAGCAGTAATGAGCGATGCCCCTGCAGCTTCCATATCCCTTACCTCCCTGGCTGCCCATCCTCACACTTGCTGCACATTTGGAATTGAGTGGGTAGAGCTACCCTCAGGCACAAGGAAGCCTGGCTCATTGGCCTCCAGTGGGCTCCAGGAGTCCTCTTCTAGCCACAGCTCAGAGGGTCCAGGTGGATGGAGGTGCAGAATGTCCTGTGCTCAGTACCCCTTCCCTCCTCACTCACAGCAGGCTCCTTTCCTATTTGCCTTCCAAGCATCATCAACCCAGAAAGTCATGAGCTATATGGTGAGCCCTCAGAGTTGCTGTTTGTTATTTACCTGTTTTTCAACTAGTTTAGAAGAAATGGATAAAACAGTTGGGAACTACAGTTTGTAATTTGGCCCATGTCTTAACTTGGTGTTAAATAATGACAATTATGTATGGACACATTCACCCAGCAGGTTTTGATTAGACTAATAGTGAGGCAAAATACCACCATCACCCCCAAGCCCCCAACACACATGCGTGCACTTAGGTCTGTGCACACACAGCTGACTGAGCGGGAGTGTCTGACGCAGCCATTGCAGAGCACACAGTCACACTTAAGTGTTCCATGTCTGATGGGAAAGTCACCATGAGCCTCAGAGCCAGCAAAGGAGGCAGTGACATGGGGGAGGCTGCATAGGTGTGGATTGTCCCCTCTGTTCTATGATGATACTTAAACTATTCAAGGATGCCTTAATGTGTGAATGAAAATCATCACTGTCCACGTGCGCCATGGTCTGTCCCACCAGCTGGCAAGGTCTTCCTTTCTGCAGTCTCGTCAGGATGCCTAGCTTAGTACTTCATTCATTTCCTTTCCAGCATCCCCCACCCCACCCCACCAGCACTTCTCAGTAAAGAGCTGCTGGTTTCATCCCAGTGAACTTAAATGGAAGCTAGCACCACCTTCACCCAAGCCCCACAGGCGACTCAGGCTTGTATGGGGCAAGCAGCACTGTTGCTCCACTTGGGTCTCCTCTGGTC